TGCTTGACGAAAAAACAAGATGAAGCTTCTTTACGTTTTCCCTGGTAGTAAATGAATAATTATTTAATTGTTGATTTGAAACTGTATAGAAATTTCAAGAGTATTGTTAAAATGGTAGATATGTAATATATATCTGTCTACCTACACCTATATGAGAAGTAACTTAGATAAATCCAAAATACATACTCTAGATATTTATATACCAAATTAATTGTCATTGCTTAGAAGATTGTAAAATCTAGTTTCAGGCAGTTTAGTCATTTAAATTATTATTCTTTGACGTCATATGCCAGAAAATTCTGATAACGCGTGTTGCAAAAAAGATTAGTGAACATATTACTTAAATTATTATTCATTTTTATTGAAGTTTTCTGCCTGATAAAGAAAATAGTAGGGAACTGATAAATAATTTTCTTCTTAGAAATGTGCATGCTCTGGTCCTACACTAAACTACATATTTCTATAAATACTAATTTTTAAGTGTTTCTAGAAGTAATACAATATAATACATCTAATATTTTATTTAAAAGTGTGTTGAGTATAATTTAAGTCTTCCTAAATTATTTTTATAAATCATAATATTTAAAAAAAAATGAACACTTTATATTGTATTTATGAATATCTTTGAAATAAAACAAACAAAATAAAGAGAAATATAGTTGAAAAGAAGTTTATTCCAAGTTATAAATCAAATTTTGAACTTTGAAGAAACATTTGTGAACAAACAAACAAAAAATCAATTGTTTTATTGAACAATTGTTTTCTTAAGAAACTTTATACAAATTAATAGAATTGAAAGAATCTTGAGCCTAAAACCTTACAAGTCAAAACAAATACACGCTTACTTGTAAATAATGAGAGGTAAAACTTTCGAATGAATTTCATCCAAACTTTTTACCCAAATCAAACTAAGTTCAGTGGAGTTTGTAGGTACTAATTAAACTTTCCAATGGGACAGAGCTTTCATTACAAAGTTATACTTTAATTCATTTTAGGAATTTATTGCTTACAAGGTAATGCCCTGGACTTTACTCACATACAATTTGGATAAAAAATTGCATAATTGATTAATTAGTTCTATGCTATGATCAATGATCAATTGCAAGCAAGTTTAGTTTGATTTCGTTAATATATTATACAGCTGCAGAGGAAGCAATAAGTGTTTTTAACCATGTAAAAATCCTTTTTTAAAAGTATGCATTTAATCAAAACAAGACAAGAGTTTGTAAAGTCACAACTTTAGTCTGCTAATACTTAAATACAATCAACACCTTTTATGGTTGAACTTTAAGTCTATTATCCTTAATTCTTACATAAATATTATAGGTTTATTGCCTTTGGTACTACCTAAGCAGACAACATTTTTAAATAACAAACATTGTAATAAATATTTACTGTGAACCATAGGAAAGTGAACATGAATTACGCATCTACTTTCTACCTATAAGTAGGTCAATGATCAGCATCCTATAAGTCTATAGTATATAATATCTGAACCGCGTGGATATCCATGAATTTTTGAATTCGTAGTTAATTGATAATTCTAAAATTATTAGTTTACTGGAACGGCTATTGATTAAGATACGCGTGGCGTCGGCGTAAATTACAGAAACACTCGTAACGATTACTCAGACCCCAGCGTAGCGCCCGCCGTTGAGCTCAACCAGCCGACGCCACCGCATTATGTCCTAACGAACTCTTAACGAGTAAATTCCAAAATATACATCGAAAGCTATTATCTTTCACCGAAACTCGACGTAAATGATTTTCTTAAAGAATCTTACCACTTGAAATGCTGAATCCAACAACAAAGGCACAAGCAGCCACGCGCTCCAATTACTGGGCACTCACTTATCACGAAAGCACTAGGTACAGCTGAAAATATATTTCACTAAATAAAGTAAATTCGATTAAAAGTCAATTGGAAGCTTCAAACGGAAGAAGTTAACAGTTTTTCACGCATTCACCACAAAACCGGGAAAGCGAACCTTCGATTACCGCTAGCTACGTACAAAATGGCGGATTTATGGAATGTGACGCGCCGACCGCTGACGCGCCGATTTTACACAGACAATACAACAAATACAGAGTTTAATAAACAGACTATGGACCATTTCGTGATTAACTGTCGTTGCTATTCATTATATTTAATATGCAATAATAATCGATGATTAAGTCTTCCGGTAACCGTTCTTAAAACTTAAATCGCATTTAAGTTTCACCTTAAAATTTACATGTCCCGTATTTTTATACCCAGTCTCTTCTAAATCCTTACAACAATTTTGTTTTAATCCCATCCCTATAAAAATATTGTATTGAAAAATTAATAACATTTTTAACTCACTCTGAACTTAAGTTATGGATTATAGTTATTAAGTTAAGCTTCCACTCACGAGTCTCTGTTTTGATATAATAAGGAAAAAAGTTTTGTTGACGTTAATTTTTTTGTAAAAATTAAAATACGTGAAGTAAAAGCATCAAAAAGTGATTTTAGTTATTTAGCGATGCTGTAAAATACAAAGATTAAGTAATACATCAATATAACAAATTAGCGATTAAGAAAATAATGTGTCAAAAACCAGTGCACCAAAAGTTATGACCTAGTGTGTCGACAAAACAAAACAAAAAGAGATGTTTTTTACAAATACTTTGAAACGATAGAAAAGTCATGAACCGAACGTATGTCGCCACTGTCCATTACAAGTAGGGGAGGGAAGAGAAAGAGAGAGTAGAGGAGGCCAGGGCCCACGTAAAGTCGGAAACACACTAAGGGGCCGTCTCCAAAAGCGAGACAATCGCGACGAGTTCGCGCTTTTATCGTCGGGTAATCTCCACGAACGAGGGATTATTCCGCCAGCGTATCGTCGCAATTCGTAACGGAATGACAGCGTATCCGCAACGACTCGTAACGGAATCGCCGCGTTTCTTTGACGACGCGTTGTGCTCTTATTTTATTCAGTGTTCATTTAGAGTTCAGTGGTGCCAGACGAGACCGAAATAAGTAGTGTCTAAATCAGTCAATAAAATAATTATTTACTATGGAAAATCAAACCATTACTTTGCTTAAAATTCTCTGTTCCGATACTCTTGCAACTGAACATCGTAAAGGGCAGGTTTCCCTCTCACATCAAGTATAAACTTTTCAATATCATACATTGTACTTATTGTTTAAAAAGATGATGATGCAACGCATAAATGAAGTGAACAGAACGCCTGCGTTTAACAGCGGCGAGTGCGCGACGTGCCACCAGTAGCGACAGGCTCGCAGCGATGTAATGACTTTTCGCGCGCACTCGACCACCCGTCGCATCGCCGCGTTAAAATCGCCGTGTGGAGACACGTTCTATGAGATTGTATAGAAATGCGTGGCAGGACGATTGTATCGTTGCGATTTACTCGCTCGTGGAGACGGCCCCTTACGTGTCGTGGCGTGTCGTGACGCGCCAGAAGCATATTTTAATATGATTAGACAGAACGTGTTGCGACACGACACAACATGCAAATATGTTTCTAATCATATTAAATGTATGAAACCAATATGCTTCTGGCGTGTCGTGATGCTTACTGTCGTGACGGTGAGTGTGCACACTTACGTGTCGTGTCGTGGCGTCCTCTGGCGTTATTTCTGAACAGTACTTAACGAACCTTTGCAGCGTTCAAACATACATAATGTTTTCGTCTGATTCGGATAGTGATTTTGAATAAGACCTTCAATTTCTCTTAGCAATGAAACTTCTTAAGAGCAAAAAAAAGAAAAGATACTGGGTTCACCCTATAAACAGAGGGAGACAAGACAAAGGTGAATTTCATCGTCTTGTTAAAAAATTAGAGAGTGACGAAGAGAAATTTCATATCTGCTAGATGTTCGCGCCATGAGCCACGCGCCGGTATAGAAACACATTTGCCTGGGGCCTTAGTCAAGATGCCTTAACAGTAGTGTATGTAGAACGTCAAAAACTAAATTTGTATGAAAACTTTTCGACACGAACTGTAATTTCCATACAAATTAAGTTTTCGACTTTCTACATACACTACTGTTAAGGCATCTTGACTAAGGCCCCTGTTGTGTCGTGTCGCGTCATAACCCCCACCACCGCTCTGGCGCAATCGGTAGCGAGCAGTCGGCACCACGACAGAACGTGTTGCGACACGACACGACATGCAAATATGTTTCTAATCATATTAAATGTATGAAACCAATATGCTTCTGGCGCGTCACGACACGCCACGACACGTAAGTGTGTTTCCGCCTTTAAGGTAGGTAATAGAGATAGCGCCACTCAATGGATGTAATGATCACAACAAATTTATTTATAGATTCTGATGTTTGATTTTATAAACAAAATAAATTGAAACACAAATTATTTAGTTTAAGTATAAATTCCGACACATTTCACAGAAAAATATGACACCAAATTCATACTATTTTTATTAAGTCGGCGGTGTACAAATTCTCACCATACAGATATTTCACATTTATCAAAATTTAAAGTATAGGCCTATTGAATTAAAATCTGATATAATCTTAGAAAGCTCTGAAAGTACAACCCCTACGTTACAGAGTAACATTATTAAGGATAAAATAAAATGATAGCACAGAATATCAAATATTCTTATATCTGTAAATAATAAGAAAGTACATATAAACAACTTATGAATAAACATTGACACATGACAACACTTGTTTTTGTCTCCAAGTTCCAACAGCGAACACTAAAACAAAATTTTTAATAAAAAACTACATTCATATTTCATACCTGCATCTTATAGTAATTGTGTTAACTATTGCGGCTTTTAGGTTCCTAAATACTATAAATATGAGCATAAATTAATAAAATTTTATTGAGCAGCTTGTTCAAAGAAGAATATCATCCTGAGACTTGACGTTGATCAGCTGAGTTTTGTTTTCGTTGCATTTGATACCATCTTTGATCGTATTATTAATTTAATAAGTGGTAGTAATTTTTCGAAATAACAAAAGATAAAATAAACTATCAACTATGAATGAAATAAAATCTCTAGAACACGCAACATTGAAGGTAGGTGAAATTCACGTTATAATTTAAGTTGTGTTTATTTCTCCGTTTTGGCTGGTATCATTGCAAGTATTGTTTCGAGGTTTTTGTGTAGTGTTATGAACAATTACAGCTTGAGCACATTTTCGAGGTTGTTTTTATTGGATCGGTTAAAGCGTTTGTTTTAGACTCACAGCGATTTACTTTTATTTTTACATTAATCATGTTAACAAAATGGCATAGCTTATTGCGCCTTATTGCATTACTTAATTTTGAAGTTGATATTATTATTGTTTGTGTTTCAACTTTCCAAATTCATAGATGGTACATCTGTCCATTCAAAAATAAAAATTCTTATTATATTGATGACATATCACAAAATATCAATGAGGACTTGGCACTTTACAGAAGTCATTAAGGACTATAATATCAAAGTATAGTTAAATATAATACAAATTTTTAAAGTAACATGTTTCATCTATCTTGTATCATATTCTCTGTATACATTTTTTTATTTACATGTATTATTGCATGTATGCTCTTTTAAAATATTCTAAATCCTTGAAGTACCCTTCTGTTCAATAATTTACCTATTATAATATTAAAATGTAAGGCTTGTGAATTATAATATGATTTGTAAAAAATATAAAGTATTTTATGATATATATTTGCATAAACTAAATATTTTTGGTCTTATTCATAAAAATACTTTACGCTTAAATTAGTTATTGTTTGGACACATTCCAAAATAATACATGCCTATTAACATAGGCCTAGTATATGTTTCATAGCCATGACATGGTTATAGTAGTAACTTATTTAGCATTAATCATTACTATTATGAAGTGGGCACTTACTCTCATAGAATGTTGTTATTAATAGGTGCCATATGAAGTCTTTAACAAGAAATACCGCAACACTCAGCGTGTATTTGATGTGGAGGCCCGTCAAGTGGTTGCTGCTGTTGGTGATCTAGATAATGCTGTTAAAAGTGGATCTACAGCTGGTGAAATCAATAATTTGCTTGGTGGAATGGTGAGCTTGAAAAACATTCTTTTCAATTATCATTTTATGATATGGCATGGAAGTTACATCTTTTTAGTAAGAATAGGTGTATTTGTAGTAGTATAAATTAATAAACATTTTACTCACTTTGAAAAATGCTATTTAAGATAGATTGATAACTTAATTTTTTTAATGACAGGCCGGTCACATCTTTAAAATTATTTATGTAAAATCACATGCAGAATAGTTTTTGCAAATTCCAGTTTAAGTATAATTAACTTTCTTATTGACTAATAATATTTAATATTCATCAAATTATACTCAAACAGGTTGAAAAACTGACAACAATGAAGCGTAAAGCATCAGATGCAATAGCAGAGGAAGTGCAAGCAGCTTTTGTTTGTAAGAAACGACTTGAACATTTGAAAGAGCAAGCAGAGGCTATTGCTGAACCAAATTCGCCACAGAATAAGGTATAGATTTAATTGAAATATATTTTTCATTCAATTGGCATCGTGTAAATTTACTAAGATATGATATAAATACCTTACCAATTTGATATTGCATCCACATATACCAATGGGTTTAGTGATTTACCTGAGGTATGATGCAGGGAAGTTCGAGTTTTTCGGGTTTATAGGCATAGAAGGTTTTTTGTTTGAGTTTTACTTCAGTTAAATTCAAATCTATTGAATGCTAGCACAGTCTTGCCGTTTTTCACTGTTTTGTTTTTATGTCTGTGTTTGTAGATAATAGTTCTGAATTAGCTTATTATTTTATGATAAACAATCCAGAACATTTAACCCCGATGTCGTGGGTTCCAATCTTGATCGTGCATCCATGAATGTTATTCATATTAACACTTGCTCGTACAAACGTAAAGAATAGATATGTCAGGCGCAGAGTCTATAAAGAAAAATTATCAAAGAAACAGATGAATTATTAGCCATTATTAGGGTAGTAGCACCATTGGACCAGTATTATTGAATATAATCTTTTAGAAACATTTAGCTAAGAAAACATACTCCATACTAGTATGCCTTTAGTTCAAGAAATTTTGTATAAATGATATGTTTCAGACGGCGATGACGCAATGGCGTAAAGTGCGTTTGGACCGTATGATTGTCGATTACTTCCTAAGGAACGGCTATTATGACTCCGCAAGTAAACTGGCTGATTCTCGTAATCTTCGCGATTTGACTAATGTTGGTAAGTCAACTGAAATCATCTTTCTTTCTTGAAAGCAGTATAAGTTACTTAACAAATAATATTTAGTCTTTCTATTTATATCAGATAAAGATATTCGTCCCTTACTGACATTCCCTAGGTCTAAAATCAGAAAATTTCCAAATTCCTTCTGCAAAAACTAACCTAGAAGTTCAGGCACCTCTCTTCCGAATTCTTCGCGATTTTAACGGATTAAACAGTACTTATCCGGAGCTGGATATATTCGGTAGTGGGCTGATCGTTAAAGAAAGCATTGTTAAGAGCCTATCTCGAACCTAAACCGCTGTTTCGCTGGTAATTTTTTTTTCCTTAAAAAAAAGTCTTATTGTACCTTTCTTTATTTCATCTTGTATTTTTTAATATTTTTTTTGTAACATTTATGTTTACCTTAATCGTCATACATTTTAGATAAAAGAGTTTGTAACATACCGTAGATTTAGTACTATGTATAATGTAGTAATCTTTAATAAATAATTAAATAAATGTACCATTAGCCTAAACATACATTTTGACCGTCCTATATGATTTAAAGCCAAAAAAATATAAAGATAGTAAATGGTGCGTTCCACTAAGCACTCACGACGATCAAAATTCTCCTTTAGCCATTCCACATACCGACCGCGGTCGTTGTGGTCACGGCGAAAACGTCACTCATGACGTCATGACTAATGCTCACGCAAGGCTCACAACGACCCATCTTAAGAGGTGTGTCAAAGTGAACGTTGAGAATAATTCGGCTCAATTTTTGAAATATGATATTCAAAGCTTAAAGATGGCGACAAGAAAAATAACATTATATGATTCTGAAAGAGAAATTGTAGTAGAAGCTATAGTTTCTGAAGCTGAAGCTGCTCGTGCAGAAAGAGGTAAATATAATTATGCAATATAAGTTTAATACAATTGATTTTAGTTTATATTCAACAGCTATTTATACATTTTTCCTGAATAATGGATAGCATAACCTAACTCAATAAGTAAACGATATTTATTATCATTAATAATATATATATATTTGCCTTGCCATTTGTAATATTTACATGAACGCCCGAAACGCTCCATAATCCATTCCACTTGAGTTAACGACAGTAACATTCACAATCAAGTGGAATGGGGAAATCAGCGGTCGAGAGCGTGAGCGTTGTGAACGCTTAGTGGAACGCACCAAAAGTAATGACTTAACGTCTATGACTCATGTATGTCAAAATTTAATTCTTTATTGACAGTTGATACGGGAGTCTGGTTAATTTTATTTATGTAAATGCAACACAAGCTAAATGTTTTATTGACTTTGATATATTACAATCGGGTGTTATCTGTGATGACATACAATATTATCTTTTAGTGAAGTGTGACTTGAATTTGTTTAAATAAGTACCTGTTATAAATGTCTAATGAAGTCCTTAAATTTGCTATTTTTATCTGTGTGCTCATTATGTGATTTGTGTTGTAACGTAACACACAGAGATAAAAATGGTATTTACCCTGGTCTACAATCACGACATCGGCTTTGATGCCAAAGGGGAGTTTATTGGGAGTTTTCGCGGGAAAACATTTGTTTATATTACTAACAAATCAAGACACCCGTATTATAATTGAAACGTATAATAAATTCACATACAGTCTTTGTAACGAAATTCAAGGAAACGAGCATTTTTTTTCGTTATAGAGAGACCAAAATTTCCTACAGGCAATGTAATCTAAAAATAATCGCACACGTGTTAATGCAATTAACAATAACAAAGGCGACACGGCCGTTTATGACTTTTAGAAATTTCGGCACCTCAATAGGTTAGTTTTATAAGCTCATTATAAAAACAATTACACTTAAGTATGTTGTTGATGTATAAACATGAAAATATTTCTTCGTAATAGGGAGTGCCGGTTATAGAGAGAGAATTAATGTATGGGATTTGTGTTAAACCAACCAAATTATATCTTTTTTTTCGTTATATAGAATTTTTTTTATAACAACTTTTAACGTTATAAAGAGTATACACTATATATAAAATAACCTATTATTGAACATGTCGTATTAATTATTCCAGACATATACGCGGCAGGTGCAGAGGTGGAACGCGAGTTATGGGCCCGTCGTACAGCTCGTTGTTTGCAATGGTGTGCCGATAATCGCTCTAAACTGCGCAAACTCAACTCCACTATGGAGTTTAACACGCGGATACAGGTCTGTTTTTCCTAATTATATTATTTTACAAAGCAGTGTTACTTTAGTGATTCGGAACGAGCAAATGCTGTCTATGCAAAATACTTGATTGTACTGGGAAATTAAATATAATAATGGTGGTCTTTGAATAAACCGTTTTAATAAAGTGTTTTGTTTTTTTGACGTAAACGGATAAACAAGTTTACTGTTCAATGGTTTTGCTATGTGCAAAATGAAAAACTATTCGAATTCTACTACAGTGTAAAACCTTTATAATGTCATTCGTTATATGGAAACTCTCTCTATAACGTAAAAATGAGTTAAATTTGTTTGGTTTAACACAAAACCCATACATCCTCTCCCTATAACGATATTTACTATTACGAATAAAAATGCTCGGATTCTTGAAATTCGTTATAAAGAGTTTACACTGTATATTATATTCTATCTGTTTGTTGTGTGCAAAAGACTACTAGTAAAAAAGAAACTGTTTTGTAAACTAGTTTACTGTCGACCGAAAAACGTTTCGTTTTGTCAACGTCAAAAACGTAAACCTCTAAAATATAGCGCAGAGTTTGCACGTCTTAGATCAAAAATCTAAGTGTTCAGGCACAGAAGACAGTTAAAGTAAAGCGTCTATTTAAACAATTTTGTCACCCAATAAGCAGGTATTACATTAAGAACTCTATTCATTAAATTAGACTTATCATTTTGCAGGAGTTCATAGAGCTGGTGCGTGGAGACCTGCGCCTGGATGCGGTAAAGTACGCCAAGAAGCATTTCTCCACTTATGATGATGGACAGCTAGAGGACATACAGCATTGTATGGGAATGCTCGCTTTTCCCAAGGATACTGGTAAGAATTAATCCAAAAGTTTTATATACGTAGTTGTCCCAAATCTGTCACACACAATTTTTAAATTTCGAACATGATTTTATAAAAAAAATTGCATTATATTTTTGAATGTTTGACTTTGTTTTAAAACAAAAAACAATCACTTTCCGTAATTTTTCACGATGGAGTGGACATTGAAAGAAAACCGAATAGCTGTTATTGCGTTGCACCCGCTGCGGGCGCTCGCAGAGTAGCATTTTCAAGTGGCTCAAAAATTTGAATGTCGCTTAGGTTGGTGTCCGTCTTTTGATAGGTGCAATGGTCTCCAGTTTGAGGACAAGAAATAACTGGCCGGCTCGCTTCGCAAGAACACCAGCAGTAATCAAAGCTATCAAGGCGCGGATAGCAAGATCCTGTCCGTAGCAGATTGATGCTTTGCAGTGGGTGTCAATAGGAAAATAGTGAAAAAGTTTTAATGAAGGTCTTGGTCTCGACCATACAAAAAAAGAGTGGGCCTCTTAATGCTCGTCTAAAAGCAATGGCTTAAGAGATCGCAGGTGTTGTTAAAGCGGTCGCGAAAACCGACACTGTCATATCTTCTTTACGGACGAAAGATTTTTCGATATTGAAGAGAAGTACAATAAACAGAATGATAGAGTGTCGCCAGGAGTTCTGAAGAAGCTGGAAATAAAGTTCCAAGGGTGCAATGGACATCATCCATCTCAGTAATGGTCTGGTTGGGAGTGTCCTATTACGCGCCAACTGAGGTTCAATTTTTCTAAAATCGGGTCAAAACCAGTGTAAAAGTGTACCAAGAACGGTTTGTCGGCTTGTCAAAGACCTGCCCAGCACGCTATTTGCGGGACATCACTTCGTGTTCCAGCAGGACTCTGCGCCTTCACACACGGCCAAGACCACTCAAGCCTGGTTTAAGCGTCAAAACATCGACTTAATTAGACATGGGGATTGGCCTTCCTCCAGTCCGACCTTAATCCTTTGGACTATAATTTGGCAGGTCTTAGAGAGGAAGGTCTGTGCTATACCCCATAAAAATAAGGAGAGTCGGAGTCATCTTTAAATAAAGCAGTTACTGAATCAACATGAATATGGTGCGTGCTGCGATAGACGACTGGCCGCGGCGCTTAAGGGCCAGTATTAAAAATAAGGGAGATCATTTCGGATAATTTTTGCTATTTCTATTCCTTAATTAATGTACTATAAATTGATACATCCTCATTAAAAACTGATTAGTCTTTTGTTTTTGTCATTATTTCCATTTGTGACAGAACTGGGACCGACTACGTATACTGTAAAACACAAAAAGTTCAGAATGATTGTGTGTATCATATATTTTCACGTAATTTCATGTTTCTTACTTTTCACTCAAAATTTCGTACAGTTACCAAAAATACAGTTTATCAAAAATACTGTCTCTTTTCTTCATAGCGTTAACACAATTAAACAGAAAGAGACAAAACATTACTTTAGTCACAGTTTTAATGAATGGGTACTTTGTTGACGTGTTTAAAACGCACCATGAAAAGAACAAGATCGACCATTATACAAATCATTTTAAGAGAACTGGTGCAAGTAGTGGTGGTGGTAGAATCTGTGTAGAAAATCCATGGTGGGGTTTGACTACAGTGCTAAATTACCTTTATTGTTATATTGACAACAGTCTTATGTCATTATAGTTTGACAGTAATCATCTTGATATTAAATATTTTTTATTTTATTTTTTAAATAAATTATCTACTAAATATAAACAACTTTGTACGCCCATTATTTTGATACAAATAAAATAATTTTAATCTCGGCCAACTAGTACAATGAAAACAATAAAAAATAACATACATTTTAACAGATTACTTCCTGACAGACTAATTATTAATGCCACATAAATCGAGTCGGGCAGTTATAAAACGAGACCGTGTGACTTCCAGAAGTGGAACCGTATGCTGGTCTCCTCCGTGCCAGTCGCTGGCAGCAGTTGGTCAGCCAGTTCCGTTGGGAACACGCCAGACTATTACACCCGGCAAGGCTGCCAGCTCTACCCGTCACCTTGCAGCTGGGTCTTGCTGCGTTGAATACGCCATATCCTTTTTATATATACTTTTTTATAAAACCAATGTGCAGGAGACTCACCTGATGTTAAGTGATACCGCCTCCCATAGACACTCACAATGACAGAGGGCTCGCAAGTACGTTGCCGGCGTTTTAATAATTGGTACGCATAATATAATATTCATTGGCTGACACTGAAAATTTTAAAATCTTTATTTCTTTCAGTTAAACTTTTAGAATACAATATTATATTGCATTAGTGTAACGTGCTGTTGGGAACAATTTTTTTTTTTATTTTTATTTTGATTTTGATTTTTGAATTATTGTTTTGTTTGTACCTCTGATTCACTTACAACTGAGTTTAATATAAGTACAATAGTACGGACACGGTCAAAATTTGCAATTTTTTGTTACTATTTGAAAAATAATATTACAAAAGAAAATAAATTTTTACTTATGAAATATAAATAATTCAAATTATTTAAAGAGCTTTTGTTTCTTGTTTGTTTTATTAAAATTTGGGGTTTATTTAATAAGTTGAAAATTTCGATTCAAAACGAAAAATACATAACCGGTTTTTCGTTGCGGGATATTTTTTTTAATTTACTCTTCAGTCAATAGAAAATCGTCTAAAAATCTTTAAATATCCTAAGAGACGTTAAAAGATCTGTTAGTAAACGTTCATCTTCAAATTTCCCTAACTCCCCCCACTCAGTGCTACAAAGAGAGCACGAAGGTGTCAGGTTGCCCCGCGTGTCAGCCCCCTCTCAACTCGTTGGCCTCCACTTTGCCCCACGCGCACTGCTCCCACTCACGCCTGGTCTGCCGCATCTCTAACAAACCGCTCAACGAACACAACCACCCCATGGTGCTGCCCAACGGACAGGTGTACGGCGAAAAGGTCAGTTTTATTTGTTTACCTTAACCTAATTTTTTGTAGGGGACTTTTGTGAGCAATTAAAAAAAGTATTTTGTGACAAGCGCCAAAATTTGCAACTTCGGCGCGCATTGCCCGATGTTACGTCTTCTCTGTGCTGCTCTACGGCGTAGAATCTTAAATGCTGACAGAAACTATATCCAAACATCCTTAAAATATTTTGGACAGACCGCATACGAAATACAACCGTGCGGGACAGAATGCAGAATAAAAAAGAAGTGAAGTTGAAGAATCTTAGACAATGGTTTGGTCAAAGCACCAAGTTCATTGTTCAGAAGCGCGGCATCCAAAATTAAAGTAGCCATGATGATCGCCAACCTTCGAAAGGACATCGCACTATAGGAAAAAGAAGAAGCAATTGTAGCGAATACCGACGATACCCATAACCTCGAGGAGATCGCCAGTGCGTTGCTGGCCTGTCAAAAATTGGTACCCTTTAGATCCTAATTCGAAGGTAGCCCCGTAACTCTTAATATTAGTATAAAAACATCTACTGTTATTGCTTTTCTGTCAACTTGCTTATTAAAAAGCATAAAAAATAAATCTTTTTAAATAAATTAATAGACATAGGTGACTACAAATAATATCCAAAAATAGGTCCAAAAATTTAATATTTTTCGAATAAATTTCGCATTTTCCTCTGATAAATTTACCTTGTCCCAGAATCGTTTAGGTTTTCAGCAATATCTTGTTAATTTCTTTTGGTTTTCAGGCCCTCAAAGAGATGATGAAGGAACAAGGCTCAATTATTTGCCCGAAAACGAAGGAGGTGTTCTGCATGAAGCGTGTCGAGAAGGTGTATGTTATGTAGATTATTGTAATTATTTTCATCACAAATTGTATTTTAGTTTTTATTAATGAAATCATAGTGACGGAGCAATCGCAATTTTAGTAGATTTTTTAGTCATTTTCAGCATTATAACAAATTTGTTAATTCCAGGTTTCTTATACGACAAATTACTGTTTGAAATCCTCTGAGTTGAAATCCGTTTTTATAAATACAGAGTTTCCTACTCCAGAAATCGTGTAGAAACTGGAACTTTTGACAGTTTTGCATTTTATTGTTAAATCTCCAATATTGAGTAAAAATCTACTTTGTATGAAACCTTGTTGTTACATACAAAATTCATCACAATTATATTTTCGAAGTCATCTTCAGTGGATGCTCAGTCAACTCTATATATAGTAGAACCTCGTTAAAAACCCCAAATCCGAAAAATTTGTTCCCTTCCCTTAAAACACCAAAACCTCCATTACTGAAATCTTGCCCTCTGTTAATCGAAATAATCACCGAGTCCCTCCAAGCCATTTTGGTACTATTTTCCCTATAACTCGAAAATTAAATTTGACCTCTGTATCTCGAACATAGAACGTTTTTTTTACAACCTTTACAACTTGATCATTTGGAATTTATTATCTCTATTGTTCGAACAAAAATAGTTCCGACTTTAGAACTTGCCGCCATGTGAGTACCTTTGTTTCTTAAAAACTTTTGGAGTATACAATAATAAATTTTGACTCATGGAAACCGTGTTTGCTTGCTTTGTGTCAGGTATTCAATTTATAAGAATAAACCTCCTCTTTATGTCGAATCAAAATCCGCCTAAGTCGAATCCTCCATAGTTGCTCTATAACTCGAATCTTTTGGCGTCTCCCTTGTGTTCGACTTTGGGTTCTACTGTGGCGTATTTTAAGAGGTGTCAACTAATCGTAGTAACAATTGTTTTTGTATCTACTGGAGCAGCACAGGGCCTAAACTAAACGGAAGCGCGAACATTAATTTCGAATATTATAATATACAGTGTAAACTTTTTATAACGTCATGCGTTATAACGAAAGACTCTCTATAACATAAACATGACTTATATTTGTTTGGTTTAACACAAAACCCATACATTAATACACTCTATAACGCGACAACCATTCTCTATTACGAAGAAATATTTCAAATTTAGACATCAACAACATTATTAAGTGTAATTGTTTTTATAATCAGCTTACAAAACTAACCTTTTGAGATGCCGATAAACAGCCGTCTCGCCTTTGTTATTGTTTATTGCATTAACACGTGTGCCATTATTCGTAAACAAACTGTCAAGATGGCCAGACAAAATACTGAAAAAAATACAAAACAAATATTGGCATAGCAAAAAACGTCAGGCGTAGTTAACAGAATATATGTGTTTAGAATAATTTACCTATTGATAGTAATAAAATTAGAAATTATTGTAATTGGTTAAATTTCATTGTTTTTACTCGTTTCTCCGTATAACGTTAACTCTCTATAACGCAAAACATGCTCGGTCCCTTGAAATTCGTTATAAAGAATTTACACTGTACTATTAAAAATGTCAATCATTCGCCTCTTGAAATACGAACTAATAATGTCTTAAACGATTTTAAACTTTAATTTCCCTTAGAAATTGACGGACGAAGCCATTATTATATTTATTTTTTATTTGGTTTATCTTTGATTTAAGGGGTTTATGTACTCCGTTTTAACTATAAGAATCTCCTACAATTTTCTATCTACTGCCAATCATTGTAGGGAAAATAAAAGTATTTCCGGAATGCAAGAATCTTTATTTCTTACGCCTATACACTGTCTTTACGTGAGTTAATGTTTTATAAAAGTTACACTTTTGTGAAAAAGGGGCACTGTTTTTATATTTTGCAAGTATTCGTAATCAATATTTACGTTATTGATCTCGTACTATCGTAAAATACGGTATTTGCAAATAAAAGCCTATTTTGGTGCCATGACACAAATGTCTCGGAATATCCGGTCCATTTTCTAATCCGTGTTTTGTTTATCCTAACAATCGATATTAAGGAATGTAATAGTTTGTATATCATGTAACTTTAAATAAAGGTATCTATGAATATTTGACGTTTCATTAAATACCCATTTGACTTTACTAGTACCTATTTAAGAAAAAATACTATATTCTAAAAAAATACGTGTGTGTTACAGAATTTTCTATGATCTAAACAAGAACACACTGAGATACCACATTTAAGAATAAGCGCACCTAATCTCTAAGCCTAGTGCTTTATAAATTATAATGCATTAAAATAATTACTCCTCTTTAGTAGGTCCTAGCAAGAAGGAAATGACGTACAGATCAATACTGATGGGAATTTGCTTAATGGGTCGAACGTAAATAGCTTAATATCGAACAATGTTTTATTATGTAAATCAGATTTGAACATTGCTGTTAATTTGTCACTTCTTTTCAAAGACTAGAAAATTATCGCGGTTAGCCTGCCTGATTGCTTTAAGAAAATTCCACCAACTTTAGATCATACCACTAAGGTCTGTCTGATACCTTAGGTCTCTAGGTAGAAGCGTTGTTTGTGCGCACACAAAGAATGTAAAATGGTGCACAGCCGGGGATTGATTGACAGCCGGCCTCAGCAATAAGAGTCGCACACTGCTGCACTGCTTTGCTAGGTTCATAATTATCCCTAATATACAGTAGTCCCAATTCTATGCGCAATTGGGAGTGCCTTACCTTTTATGAGCCACCCATCGCTCCCTTATGGCTTGTTCCGACCTTCCCCTATTTTATACAATCAATGTTTGAGGATAAGTATAAAAGAGAAAATAAAATTCTTTCAATAAACATTTTATTAATAACGGTTTTTATACATGGCCATTAGGTATCACAATTTTTATCTTTATTAAATAAATGGCTTATTCATTAACATTACTAAGATAAAGGAAGTACGTATAAATGTAATGCATATATATAAAAAAATAGTAGTGAAAACCATAGAGTTTCGTAAAGATTTTTAAATCTGATTCTATTTACACCTTCTGAAATATCTAACTTTATCCAAGAAAAATATTAGTTACTGATTTGATATAAATAAAACTTTAATTTGTTAAAAAAATAAGCAAAAAAAATACGTCATAAAAATGGCCATTTTTAATGGCGTAATATGAGTGACCTGATCTACGACTTACACCATACAGTGATTGTAACACTAAATCACTAAGGGAAAACTTTTTGTGGAGTTTGTACTAAAACTAAATGCAATGAATTGGCTATTTACATATTGTTTTATGCTTTCTTAAATGTGTAAGGTGTCCAAAAATTCAATTTAAAGTTCCGTTCCGTTTAATTTAGTGGAAACTGTGAAAAAATCTCATGTTTTTGACAGTAATTCGCACTAAGAATAAAATTACTGACTTAAGTCAACATCACTTAGCGCTAAGTGTGATCCCGTACGTATTGAAGTAGCATATGAAACATCTACTAAGATGTCTTGTTACATCCTTACACAAAGCAAAATCCTTTAAATCTATCGATTAAAATATTCCATATTAATATAGTGGAGTATTTAGACAACTTATAACTACTGGCATACTTCCATAGAGCAAAACAAATGCAACGTTATAGATAAAGTACACATCTCTCTTTTCATCACAGCGTGAATATAATTTGACAGAAAGAAACGAAAGAGAATATTGCAATTACTGAGTTAGTTATAGTAATTTAACATTTAAAAAATTCCGAATATTTTGTATGAAGCTTTTTGTAGACTAGAACAAGGTGCGCTCTATGGATTTAAGCCACACTTTGAGCTAAAAAAACTTATATATTAAAGTGATTATTTATTTCACTCTGTCGGTATCTCGATGTTTAAATATATGGGTGACTAGTTTATTAATGTTTTACATAAAATCATGTGTTATTTTAAATAGGGAAGCAATATTTACGCGCATGCGCACCCTTCATACTACTGCATGTGAGACTGAACTTTAAGGATTATTCATTATAATTTCTTATAAAAAGATTAAGGTTTTTTGTTTTCTTGTTTTGTTTATATGTGATAGTGTGTTCTTGGTTTAATTTTTCGTAATAAAAGTTTTCTATTGCATTAGTATTAAGTAACACTTCTAGGAGCTCGGCTTACAAGTGATGTAATAATAAAAATGTGGGGCCAATTGACAGACTTTTTTTTTATTTTGAGAATTCTTTCGAGTTACCGACAGCGTAAGCTAAAACTAAATTTTTCCAATAATACTTATGTGTCCTCGAGGACGTATCAAAAAATATTTTTTTTATATTTTTGTACATTTATTTTAGACTAGGACTATTTGGATGACTGAAATGGGTGGGTACACAATTTAAATAGTTCAAAAAATAATATCGATACAGAATCATTAAAAATTAGTGGCCGTTGTAAATATCTGAATTAAACGCGTTTACACAATTATACATTTTGAATTCAAGTTAACCACGCGTTTTTTCTACGTATTTATTTTAAAAAAAAATTGATTAAACGATCCAGAAAATAACGAACGTATAAATTACGCATTTTTATCACATTTTCCTAAATTATTTTTCCTCAGTATTTCCACGATTTATTCTAGTAGTGGTCTAACAGTAGTGCGTCATAAGGGCCATAAGTAGTATCCCACCTAGTAGCGCTGCCAGGTGTTTGAGGGACTCCCATCGGTCTTCCTCCCTTAGCAAGTCGGGTAAGACGGTGATGAGGGCTATGTGAAGGAACCCGCCTGCTGTAAAGGGGGTTATCCATGATGTACGGGCCTCTGGAAATAAACATTTTTATAACATATCTATACTCAAAGACTGTCAGCGGGTCTACTCTGTAAAACCTATGATCATATAGAGATATTATAAACAGTACTGTGATAGTACAGAGTAAACTTGTAGTTGCCATAACCACTATAAGAAATATGTATGTATATATACGACCTCAGGCACGAGAGTCGCACGGCCTACACTGCTAATAGTAAATGAATAACCAAACTCTTTTACAAAAATATTTTTTAAACAATTTGAGAATTTGGTAAAAAATTTTATACCTATAGCATTACTGGCTCCACTGAAGATGACAGCTGTCATGGCGCCGATCAGACCAGCCGATGCCGTAGCCTGGAAATAATTTTAATTAAAATTATTAACAATCTGTATGTAGTATAGTATAAAGCATATTTCCGTAATTTAATTAGACTCAAGTCAATATAAAATTAAAAGAATCTTTAATAGGCGTTTTATTATTTTACGAATAGGGAAAGATTTTTTAAAACTAACCAATTGTGCTTTAGCTGCCTCCCAACGTGAGAATCCACTCTTCAAAAGGATAGCAAAGTCACCGACTTCGTGAGGTATTTCGTGAACTGAAACATTATAATTAAAATAATAAAATACATAATTGTATGTTGAACAGTACCAGATGTGAACGACTGTAAATTATTTATTAACAAAAGCTTGCCAACGCTCGGCACTCTGATACATAAAATAAAAAAATAATCAGTTGCGCTACAACCTCTTTAGGTCTGGGCCTCAGATTTCTGAATCTGTTTCATGATCATTTTTCAATCTAATAGGCAAGTGGTAATCAGCCTTCTGTGCCTGACACATGCCGTCGACTTTTTGGGTCTAAGACATGTCGGTTTCCTCACGATGTTTTCAATCATCAATCAACCTGTTTCCTTAATATCTTAAACGCAAACGATACATCAATTAATTTACGATTCTCCAATGACAACGAGTTAAAGTGCTCTAGTCTTTGTATGTTAGCAACTCTTTTTTCGAGATGCCACTGGAGAAAATTAAACATTTTTTTTTTCAAAGCTCGACTCGCAACATGCGGCCTACATAACTATAATAAAAGGTTTAAGATTTCCTAATCTAAGAGACTCATCGACTTCAGCGAGAAAGCTTAAAGCGTTTTACTTTTCGCTTTAAACCCTTAATATAGCGCATTATAAAGTATTTAACTAGTTTAAATCTAAATGTAGTATAAATTCTACGGGTTAAAAACAGCAACAGGACAAATTTTCCAATCTAAAATACACTTTAAGACAATGTACTAAAGTCGCAATTTAATCTTTTAATATTAGAAAATTTGAAAAAAAAAAAACCTAAACTTAAGTCACAATCTCGTCTTTAGCTCTGTCATAATGTCGCCTTCATACTGAAAGGGCTGTTTCACACGTACCACAACCACACCACGTCGCAACGACAAAATGCTGTGAAGCAGTGGTTACGTGTGAATAATGTCGCTGCAAATCAAATCAAATCAAAATACGTTTATTCAATTTAGATGCTTCTTAGAGCATGCTTATGAATGTCAACAACGTTTACAAAATTCACGAAAGAGCAAGACTACGCCATCCGTTCGCAAAACTACCAGGAGGCCTTGTTCTGAGAAGAACGGGCAAGAAACTCAGCAAGTTTGCCCTCCCTTTACATTACAATTATTCAAAGGAAAATGTCATAAACCACAACGTCATTAAAGTTACATAAGTAAAAAAAATAAAAATCTGTTCTGTGATTTACCGCATTCACCATTACACACATATTCATAACACTTCAAAGATAACAAATCAAATTATAAGAATATAATTAGAACTATTGCCAAGCGTTTTTATCTTCCAGGTAGTCATTGACTGTGTAGTAACCTTTACACATTAAGGTATTTTTGATGTGTGTTTTGAATCTGTTTAAAGGCAGTTCCAATATTTCACTAGGAATCATGTTATAGCAGCGTATACTTAGGCCCATAAATGAAGTATTTATTTTCTGCAACCTGTAAGACGGCTGGAAAAGTTTTCCCTTATTTCTTGTATTCCTATTGTGAATGTCGCTGTTCTTTAAGCAGCAGCTTTTTGTAGTTGCGTTGTGGTACCGACAAAATGTCGATGTGGTTGCATTGTCGCCAGTAGTTGCGATGCGGGTACGTCGTGTGCAGACACAGTTGAGGAACGTGTATCCGCTATGAAAGACGGAGTTGACTGACCAAACTCATGGAATTCGAAGAGGAAACATTGTCACCTTAGTCGAACGCAGAATGAATGAACCGGGGGAGGGCAAAAGCAGCGGGCGCGCACTGTCGTTGCGTCTACGCAACGTTTTGTTTGCGATGTGGTCGGCCACTAGTTTCGCAGTGCCGCTGGTGGTCGCGTTGTGGTCGCGATGTGGTCGGTATCACACACACGGTTGATAACGACTACAAAATGTGGTACGTGTGAATAGTCCTATTCATGTTCAATACAAAATATACGCCCGGCCACGTGGTATGGTTGAGTTGTGGTTGTGGTACGTGTGAAAAGGCCAAATTAATGGTTTGACACCTCTTGAAACTAGATTTAGGTTTGACAGTTACAGATTCTTGTTAATAGCGGTATCACTCACCGAGTATAGCGAACGTGGTGAGTAATCCCACTCTGAATCCCACCAGGAAGGATCCGCCAACAGCCAAACCGTGTGTGAAGTTGTCTATGGAGTTCGCCATTAAATTTAAGTATCCCGCAACCTGAAATAAACAATATTAATATATTTCTTTGCATAAAAGAAAATATTAAACGAATTTCTAGTTGTGGTAAGACTTTTCGAAGATTAAAATTGTTGAGTTGTTTCCCTTCCCCATATAACAGTTTCAAGGTACTGTTAATTGTGTATACATCGTATCTATCCCTACTATCCCATAAGGGAGCGTTCAAGTATTACGTGACGCAATTTTTAGGAGATTATTGACCCCACACCCCAAGTAACGCGCCGTAACGTTATTCTGTACCCAATAGTAAAACGTTTCGTGGCCACCTAGTTACTCTTTATACCTAAATGTTACCATTATGTGGTGTAAAGTACTGGAACGTCGAAAATAATATTACCAATAAGGCGTAATTCAATGCCCGCCCCGCATCTTAACGTTTTACAAAAGGACCCCCCTCCCAAATTTCGTTACGTAATACTTGAACGCTCCCTAATGTAATTATTTGTCTTGGGGATGGTCGGGTATAATAAATTAGAAACCAAGACGAGACTTATAGTTGGATCTTTATATGTTCGCAGAATGAGTTCACAGTGGCGATATTGTACACAAAGATACATCTAATGTATTTAATATAATATTTCTTATTATTTTTTTCGACATCATCGTATTGGTTTAGTATAAAGATAGTGTATGTATTTTTTGTGGACAAATAAATATATACTTACAAATAATATATAATTGTATACCGCGAATAAACAAAATGTTACAAATTCTCGTTATTTTATAAAACAGTGGACAGTCGGGCAGGAGGATCACCTGACGCAAGCGCCGCCGCCCATAGACACCCTCAATGCCAAAAGGCTCGCGTACGTAGTCGGCCTTTAAATTGAAACGCTCTTTTCTTTAGACAGAAGACCAATTTGCCGCTTGAGAACAAGAATAAAATAAAGAAACTCCACTGGATTATTAAGAGGTCTAGTACATATACTACTTTTGGGTGCATTTTTCAGTCCTTAGTACTATATGCAATAGCTATTCTAAGGGTCTGTTTCACAATGTACGGATAAGTTCTACATAAGTTTCAAATTAGCTATTTATTACTTATTGGTAGGGTAAACACTATTGTTGCGTTTCACGACTGTCAGATAGCGCTATTCGTCACATAAAGTCCATCATAAGCTATGTGTCCGATGAATGTCAAATAGCACAATTTATCTTCCAAATAATTTATGTGTTGCATAGCTATTTGGTACTTTATCATACTTTTATACTTTATACATTACTTTATACTTTGGTACTTTATACATTGTGAAACAGACCCTAAGAATACTAAATATTAAATACAATATCCTCACATCTTTCTTCTCGCTCTTCTCCTTAGTTGCATGTAGTGTTTTCTCCCTCGCCTCACGTAACAAACACCTTCCCATCCATCGGTTCCCTTTACACTTCACTACACCGTTGTTACCGTTAACACTACTGCAGCAGCCACCACCTGAAGATATTAAATATTTTTTTTATTGAATGTCAATTAGCGGTCGATACTAATTGGTCCATCAACGAAACGTGAGACATGACTATCGTTTCGTCTTTTGTTTTAAGTAGTCCCATGTCTAGTACTCATCTGTCTCTATTCATCACAGCTTAAACAGAATTTGAAAGAAAGAGACAGCTAAGATGTAATGTGCTTTTATATGAATAAGGGCGTTACTATATAACTAAACAAGATATAAATGGTTAACATCGGAATGAACATTGTATGTCGATAGGTGAATATCATTTTGAGCGATGATGTGTTAAGAATTTTCATATTAAAATCTAACTTTATTTGTTTTATAATTTTTAACCAGTTTTAATAGAAATTCAACAAAAACGTTTAAAATTCTTAACTTTCAATATTATTTACCTGTTCTGTATTTGCTATCAAATTAGCTGCTACCTACCTATGCAAATAAATAAAGCCACAGAAATCAGACTTAAAGCGAACAAAGTTGTTAAAACGCCAATAATAGCTGAACGTAGCATAACTGTTATATATAGTAAAGTTTCAAATAGTTTATATTAGGTCCTTACATATTATGAAATTGGCGTATTTCGTACTGGCTACTTTAATCACGATGTTCTCCTCTTTGGTAAGGAATTCCAAATTCAAATTTGTACAGCTATTTACTCATGTGCTTGTGCTTCGATGACCGTCATTCAATTGTTTTTTTCTGTTTGCGTCACTCATTTTACAAAATGGAAAACTTAAAGTATCGCATTATTTACGAGTACGAGTTCCGCCGTGGCACTAGTACTGCGGAAACGACTCGAAGGGTGAATGATGTGTAGGTATAGCGGTCATGTTGCAAAAGAAAACACAGTTCGTTTTTGGTTCCAACGTTTTCGTTCTGGAAATTTCGACCTGCAGAACAAGCCCCGTGGACGGCCTGAGACCCAAGTTGATAATGAAGTATTGAAGGCTATTGTGGAAGCGGATCCATCGCAAACCACGTCCGAGTTAGCTGCAGGCTGCGGTGTTAGTGATAAAACTGTTTTAATTCACTTGAAGCAAATTGGGAAGATTAACCCCAAAAAAGTTACTTGTAAGCGTTTGGTGGACTAGTGCCGGTATTATTCATTGCAGTTTTCTCAAATCTGGCCAGACTATTACGGCTGATGTCTATTGTCAGCAATTGCAAACCATGATGGAAAAGCTAGCGGCTAAACAACCTAGGCTGGTCAATCGCTCCACGCCTCTGCTACTTCACGACAACGCTAGACCACACACTGCACAATAGACGGCTACCAAATTAGAAGTGCTTCAATTGGAATGTCTAAGACATCCTCCGTACTCCCCGGACCTTGCTCCAACAGATTACCTTTTTTTTCGAAATTTGGACAACTTCTTGCAAGGGAAAAAATTTTTAACTCTGATGGGGCAGTCCAAATCGCCTTCACAGATTTTATTGATTCCCGTCCGACTGGTTTTTTTAGTAAAGGGATCAATGAACTAGCTATGAGATGGCAAAAGTGCATAGAAAACAATGGTTAATACTTTGATTAATTAAATATATTATATTTAAAAATATTCGACTTTTTGTTCCTCCAATACAAAACGCCAATTTCATATGTAAGGACCTAATATATGACGTTGTTATTACTGAATTTTACTGTAAGGGAGCGTGCAAGTATTAACGAAAACGAAATTTGTAAAACGTTACGATGCGGGGCGGGGATAGAATTACGCGTTATTGTTAATATTATTTTCGACTTTCCAGTACTTTACACCACATAATGGTAACTATTAGGTATAAAGAGTCACTAGGTGGTCACGAAACGTTTTTCTATGTTACGACGCGTTACATGGGGGGGGAGGTCAAGGGGTCAAAAATTGCGTGACGTAATACTTGAACGCTCTCTAACTCACCTTTAGTATTATTATTAAAAACGCATGTATCGTAGAGCTGTTTGGCTGTTACACCATTACCACAGACCGCACCCTTTTGTTTCCTCTCAGCTTGCAGTAGCTTCTCTATCTCTTCTATATCTATGTGCTGTACGGAGGCCTTTTCCTCTTCTTCCTCACCAGCAGCGAAGAGCTTTTCCACTATTATGAAGACCAGCATGCCCATCAGACACCAGAGACCGCATTTCATTGATACGTGTTCACCATCTAAAATGTATGGTAGGTAATTGAAATTAACAAAAAAAGAACACTAATCCTACATATTTTTTTTAATCAGTGAAAAAGACAATACTTTACTAGATATTTATCGATTTAGCAATAATAATAAAATCGAAGAGGAGATGGTGATATACAGCGAGCATTAGATTACAATGCTTCTTTGAAAGTTGACACAACGGATTGCATTGTTTATGATTACCAAAACCAAAGACTAAATTTTGTCTTTACTTTGGCAATAAATTTCCCCTGACATTTTTTTTATAGAACAGAGTGCAAAGAGGCAGCAGGCCAAGCCTTGTTTTATTGATACCGCCGCTCAAAGCCAGAGGACTCGAGGACCTTTTAAGGATTGGTACGCTATTTTCTCGAAAGTCAAATTAGTTTGGAAATACTTCAGTGGGCAGATAGATGGTTCTACAAAGTGGTGGTGTACGCTTACAGGTGATACTGGTGAAATTTCTTATTTTGTCTCGACGTCCGATGATGAAACTCAGCTGCATTAATCTAAACAACTCCTTTGAACACTCTCCGTGGTAAATGCGATAGAAGATGCAGAGATTACCCCTTCCACCTTACTTACTCGCAGTTTTGCAGAGCAATCTTCTCCAAATACCCAATAAGTTATATATTTACGATCCTCATTCATGCCGAGTTTGCCTTTTGTAGAATTCGGTTTTATTGTTATTTATGTTGGTTTCTAGATGTAAGCTTTTATAGAAAAGGCCATTTGCCCTGTTTTAAATAAATACCCTTCTTCATAAAACTTTATTAATTTACATTCATCCCAGCAAGAATACAATTTGGCAGAAGATCTAGTTTTTATGATTAAAGACAATAGGTTAAAACTCCCCGGTAGGTTAAAGATGTTACACTACTTTACATTAACTACATTTTATACTAAGTGACGTAAAAATATATAAATTTATAATAAAAACATCTTACGGAAAAGTATCAGAACAATAATGCGATTTCCTCGGTCCACGTGTCAATGAACTTGAAGATAAGCAAAGGATAAAAGTATATTATAAACTATAGTGTAAAATACGCGTCGATTTCCTTTATTGTGGTATCTATATTATATTCTATAGTATATCTGCCTGCATTATTGAAAATATGCTATATTATTTCAATGACAAAGTGAGTTGATCTAGCGTTCGATTTATTTAATGCTTTTTAACGTGGTGGAATCCGACAGACAAAAAAAATCGTATAACGTATCCAATGCGAATAATTTTGTTACTAATACGTGTATAATGAATTAATAAAAAGATACTAAATTTATACAAATTATTAAAATTATTGATTATAGAACGACTCATTGGTCTAGTGGTTAGTACCCCTGACTGCGAATCCATGGGTCCCTGGTTCGATCCCCGGCTGAGACGAGCATCGATGTGATGAGCATTTGGTCTTGGGTGTTTAAATATGTACATATACTGCTCAAAACAATTAGCGGAACAAGATTTTTCTCCTTTCTATTGCTTAAACTAAAATTAGATTTAAATTAACTTGTACGCAATTTTTTACCTTGTTAATTTGTTAATTACTACAATTAATAAAAAAATTCAATTTGTATTTTTTTTATTAAAAAAAAATTAAAATGTGCTGTGTAGACGAAAAACAAAGTGACGTCTTTGAATTTTCATTACTTTCTAATCACAGAAAACACATTTTAAGTAGTTTTTTTCAATCTTTTGAGTATTAATAGAAATTGAAGTGAGCCTTTTGGGTATTGTTATTCATTGAAGCGAGTGAGTTTAGGTCATAATGCCAGATCTGACTGAATTGCATGTCTCCCGAGCTATCGCTTTGCTTGAAGAGGGTCGAACTATGCGTTATGTAGGAAATGATCTAGGAGTAGCCCCTTCTGTTATCTACAGACTTTGGAAGCGATACCGTGAGACGGGAGAATACTCACGAAGGCGTGGTCAAGGTCGAAAGAGAAAAACTACACGTTTGCAAGATCGCTACATCGTCAACTGTGCTTTACGTAACCGCACCACAACTGCAAGAGATCTATAAAATACACTAAGGACGGCTACTGGTGTAGAAATTTCCGACCAGACGGTTGAAATAGGTTGTTGGAAGCCAATTTGAGATCACGCCGACCAGTTCGGGCTGTGCGTCTAACAATTCAACATAGACAAGCTCGCCGACAGTTCGCGCAAAATCACGCTAATTGGCAACTTCGACATTGGAGGCCAGTGCTTTTTACTGACGAATCACGATTCCGTCTAACACGTTGCGATGGTTGGCTCCGTGTTTACAGACGCCCAGGCGAGCGATACAGTGCAGCAGCAGTCCAGGAATATGACAAATTTGGATGTGGCTCTGTGATGGTTTGGGGCGGAGTTAGTTTGGACGAGCGCACAGATCTCGTCGTTGTTCCCGGGCGCTTGTGTGCTCAAACTTACATTGAAAATGTGCTCGAAGATCATGTTTGGCCCGCAGCATATGGTATGGGCCCAGATTTTCTTTTAATGCAAGATAATGCCAGGCCGCATACTGCAGCCATCACGTCAGATTACTTACGACAGCAGGAAATCCGTGTAATGGAGTGGCCTTCCATGAGCCCTGACCTAAATCCAATTGAACACATTTGGGACTTGCTTGACAGGCGCATCCGGAAGCGTCCGATTGCACCTCAAACACTGCAGCAGCTCACTGAAGCGTTGATTGAAGAATGGGAGCGAATTCCACAAGAAGATATTCAGAGGATCATACGAAGCATGCCGCGTCGTTGTCAAGCCGTGATTAGGGCTCATGGAGGCCACACACGTTACTGAAAGTCACTAAAGACGAATATTCAAACGATATAAGAATATTTCTTTGATGGACCTTTTTTATCACCAATTAGTTTTTCGTCTACAATGCACATTTTAATTTTTTTTTTAATAAAAAAAATACAAATTGATTTTTTTTATTAATTGTAGTAATTAACAAATTAACAAGGTAAAAATAGCGTACAAGTTAATTTAAATCTAATTTTTGTTTAAGCAATAGAAAGGAGAAAAATCTTGTTCCGCTAATTGTTTTGAGCAGTATATTTATATGTCTATCTATCTATGTATGTATATCCGTTGCCTAGTACCCATAACACAAGCTTCACCAGCTTAGCATGGGACTCGGTCAATTGGTGTGAATTGTCTTTAAAAAAAAAAAAATATATAGAACAAGTGTGACAGTTTTATTTGTGGTAAAAGAATTATCATTGTTTCAGACAAAATATAACTGCTCTGTATCCACAGAATGATAAATTGTTATTCTAATTTAAAATCTAATATATAAAATTCTCGTGTCGCGGTGTTTGTAGTTAAACTCCTCTGAAACGGCTTGACCGATTCTCATGAGTTTTGTGTGCATATTGGGTATGTTTGAGAATCGGACAACATCTATTTTTCATCCCCCTAAATGCTAAGGGTTAAAACCCCCTAATTTTTTTTTAACTTTTAGATAATTTTATTTTTTTTGTTGTTTTTTATGATACAGCATTAAAAAATACATACAACCCCTAATTTTCACCCCTCTACGGTCAACCCCTATTTTTTATTATAAATGATGTGTAAACGAAGTTTGCCAGGTCAGCTAGTATAATATACTTTTGTATAGCATTCGATGTACCTATTTGTCAAGCGATAGTCACATTTACTTTTAATTGCACTTGAAACACAAAACCTCAATGAATCACCTCTATCAAATGACTGTTCAATGTAATAGAGTTTATATTGTTGATATATTTGCAACACAAAACTTCAACGAACAACATTAACATATTATTAACGCGTGGCTATAATTTATACAGTATTATATTCTTTATTTTATTATGATGTAATCTCAACTAATATTATAAAGTTAAAAAGTTGTTTGTTTTTTAGTGTCACGAACTACTGGATTTAACGAAAAATTATTTTGGTAAAAACGTGATCAAAAGGTGCCTAACCTAAAGTACATAAAACTGCGGGTGTGTGTGTGTGTGTAAGACTAGGAAAGATTTGATAGTTTGTTTCCATTGAATAGGCTCTAAAACTAATGGACTTATTTAAATTCCCTTACTTACCAATCTCACATTATACCTAATAAATAAGCTATGTATATAATATTTTCAAAAATATAAACCAACGTGTGAAAAATATGTACCTATAAAAATCTCTATAACGCGTACACTGCGGAAACTATTGATACTAGAACAAAGTGAAGAACTACAATTTTTTACAAGACATTAATATCTACAAAGAAAGTTCTATATAGTTCAGTATGAAAGTACCGACTGCAGTGCCATCTGCCGGGCTGTTTTGTGAATCTAAACCATCCACGGCTCCACCCAAACGTATACAAAAAAAATCATTCAAATCGGTCCAGCCGTTTAAGAGGAGTTCAGTGACATACACACTCACAGAAGAATTATATATATAATGATAACTAGCCGTGCGTGCCGTACTATTATACTAAGTATTTTATTATAGATCAACGAGTACGAATTGTAATTTTTTTTACAGTCAATTGTAAATACTTGCATTATATTAACACAATATTCATGAATCTAACTAAAAGTAAAGTAAGTAAGTAAAATATTCAATAAGGAAAAATACACCTTATCATCCACATTTGTATACTTAAATCATTTATGGCACAGATAGTATATCATGTGCTGCCTACCTCCGGAATCAAGTTAATCCATGCTTTATTGTAGGCGTAGTTGAAGCTTATATAAATATAAGCTAATTAACAAAAAATATGTAAAAATTAATGTTCCCGGCAAATAACTTCGCTGAGCTGTTTCGTACTAAAAGCTTTGCCTCATCATAAAAAAAACGGGAATGTTACGTACCTAAAGGTAATAGGAAAACGATATTTTTATTTGCCAAAGTTCTTCAAAATCGAAGCTCCGATTTGTAGTTCTAACAAAGAGATGAAGTGATAATGATAGATTAGTTTAAATGGCCTATTTATCGTATAAAAAATACGGAATTCCAGCGATTTCCGTATCAGCGCATTCATGGCATTGAATTGTTTCGATTCAAATTGAACTTGCGGGCGTATTTACATATTACGTCAACAACAATGACTCTCTATCGGCAGAAGGATTATTCAACATTATAAGACTTTAAATAAATGAAAGAATTTTACAATAACAGAATATTATTCTGAATCTACTCCCAGTAGAGCTTCTTGGGAAAAACAGATTTATAATTTTCACACACAGTTAAATTTTTCTCATTTTCACAGTCACTTCCAGCCGTTCGTAACTTCCAACTACGCAATAGGTTTTACATGTTTATCAAAAAATAATTGAAGAAAAAGATTCATGAGTAATAATAATATTTTATCACTCCATGACGTCATATTGTATAAGAATTATCACTTACCTTTGGTACTGGCAAGGTCATGTTGCCACGCTTCTGGTAGAAGGTGAAGAAAGACATCCCCTAGCAAACCACCCACGGCGAAACTCAACAGGATTCTTAGTGTCGCCGCACCAGCTGAAAAGTACGAGAGTTTTCTATAATTCAATAGGAATGCGATTATTTTGTTGACATGACTCTAATGTTGACATTTCAAATTAAAACAAGTTATAGTGTAAGAAATATCTTCTGTTTGTCTAAACGACTAATTCAATGCACCGATTTATACTTCTACTCATAATAATCTAAATTAATGATTATGTAATAGAAAATATAAAAGATTACCTTTATCACCCATGTCATCGAATGAATTATTTTATGGATGTAAAGTGATTTGATAGCATCTATTGGTTTTATCGCAAGATTAAAAAGTTTTGATTTGTAATACGTGTTTGCTTTCATAGTATTTATCAGTTAAAAAAGAAAAATAAATCGGTGGCGCTACAACCTAATGGGCAAGTGCTTGACACACGCAGTCGACATTTTGGGTCTAAGGAAAGCCGCTTTTGTTCAAGATGTTTTCCTTCAACGTTTGAGCGAATGTTAAAGGCGCACATAGAAATAATATCTATTGGTGCACAAGCGGGGATCGAGCACGCTGAAGCCACTAGGCCAACACTGCTCGTATTGTAATAGTATTTATCACTTACATAGCTATTAAAAATGCATATCGAATCGGTCTTTATATGGCTTTATTATAAATCGAAGATTAAAGATACCGTACCGAGTTTGTTACCATGGTTACCATTTTCTACACGTATAAAGCAGTCTTCGTTTTATAAGTTCTTTAGTTTTGTTAGCAAGAAAGTTTTACCGTCTTATTCTTAAACGTTTCAATTTCGTCACATTTATTGACAAACTGGCACGTGATGGATGACGAAATTCTATAGCTATTTGAGACAGCTGTTCCCTGTAGTTTCATACGCGTTAATTTACAGTGAAATTTAAAACCAGTAGTCAAAGATTACGGCGTTCAAACATCTCTGGTGTTAAACCATAAAACTAAATATAGCTTGGATTAATTCTTTAACACGTTAAACGCCAATAGAAAAAAATAAAAATCGTAAAAAAACTTTTTTGCTGTAATTTGTTTATTATGATAATATATGTATAGTTTTATTAAATTCTGCCCATGGGTTACATAGTTACAGCCAAATATATAACTGAGGTCACCGGTGCACCCCATGGCGCACAAATACAGAAAATACATTTTCCGTTACCCTGCGCCGTGCCGCCCACCCCGCCGGCCACCCGCTATTCACTTCGACAGTGTTAGTGCGCTCGCGCTTGCGACGATTGCCTCTGCTTTGCTCTTTCTATTAGTTTCCTACTAAATTTGTGTTCGCTACATAACGAACTTAACTTAGGTTGCGTTAATAATGTACGAGATCCTTAGGTATTGGCTTAGCTATGGAGGAATTAAAATTTACACAGAAAGAATTGCAACAAATCAACGCGTTAGCATATTATTTTACAACAAACCCTTTGAGAAACAATGATTGCCACTCAGAATCAGATAGCGAACAGATGCTAATACCGAAAATAAAAAGACGTTAGGTTATACCTACTTACTTGCAACTGACAACTGGTATACAAGCTTAGAACTAGGTTATTGGAGAAACAAACCTATTTAATTGGCACTTTGCGAAAAAACAAGAGGGTTAGGCTGTTCTGGAATTCAGAACTGTAGAAAGGTAAAATAATGGCTGTGGAGAATGAAGACGGAGTAACGGTGTTCGACAAATTTGCTGTGGTAGAGTAAAAAGGCAAACAGATTCGGAAGCCGAAGATCATATTGGATCATAATAAATCCGAAGGGTCTGTAGATATGAGTGACCAAATAGGTGCCTATTCTTCGGCATTGTAGAGAACCGTAAAATGGTCGCTTTAAAAAAAATCGTAATCGTCGTAAAACGGTTTGGGCTTAGGTTGACATAATTGTGAACCCTGTATGCATGTTTTGTTATTGTTTTTCTTTCTGACATCTTTTCTCATCAATGATTTTTCCGAACTTTTTTACACTTTGAAATTTCCTAGTTTTTCTAAAGATAAATTTTATTTTTCAGTAATATTGGTACACAACACAACACACTTTACTTTCTGCTAATTTTTGTTTAAAAAATAAAGACTGAATTGAGTTAAATATCCAACATTTTTGGAACGAAGTTTTATTTTTGCTTCGTTTTAAAATGTTTAGATTTTTTCAAAGTACTATCTAGGTACATTTGTCCCAATGCGAAGTATTGTTCTACGGCGCAGTGCCGGTCACATAGTACTTTAAAATCAACAGTGGGTATGGCAGACGGCGAGAAAAAACGGTTTGAATATGTCTTTAGCTTGAGGCCACCGGTGACCCCCATGGCGCTATGATAGAGGAATGATGAGGTCACCGGTGACCCCCATGGCGTTCAACGTGTATATCCGTAATGTGTGTTTAACAAACGACCTTAATTTATGAATTATCTTAATTTAATGCTGGATGTAAACAGAACCTTAAAACCTTGGCTGTTCTTTATTACTAGGAAGCAGAAATTACGAACATCTATTCATATTTAATTAGTAGTGTTGGTCTAGTGGTATTCGTGTGTGACCCGTGCACCAATGGACCTTCTGTGTATGTGCGCATTTAATGCTCGAACAAAAAAATAAATTCAATTTTTTTTATTCAATAACAAGTTACATTTTTAGCAGATATTGGAGCCCCTGAACTAAGTCTAGGGAGACCTGTACATCAGGGTACTCCGCTCTTCTAATGGTATAACGAAATAGTACTATATAATAAAGAAAAACAGAAATCTAAGATACTAAACTAAGGATACAGTTTGCATGGTTGAGATACAGGTATACATTTGTACGCACCAGAATGATAATCTTAAGGAAGGGATGGATGGGATGGGAGGTGGAGGGTCGGAGTGTAAAATAATGCAAAAGAGCAGTGTGGAAATTAAGAAAGGTTAAATTATACTTGAACTAGCAATTCAGTTTCTTCGTAGTTAAGTGAACGTGTCAGAAACAGAAGGATTATCACCTACTTATCTATTAAAAATACTAAATGATCACGAAACACATAGAAATTTGACACCAGTTCCAGACGTAAAAGGTTGTAGAATGTAGCGCCATTGGTATTAATCATCTTTAATATGTATAAAACAGCGGTCATTCATAGATACGAGAACAAAGAGGTATTTTAAAATAGCTTGCAATATCGGTCAACCGTCAATACTACCACCGAAGAGAATGATTATATTATTATCTCTCACGTAGAGATAACTAAAGATAACTTTAACGAAGGTTAAATTAACAGGTTTAGAATCAAACCGTAAGACTAAACTTAATATAACTGGAACTTAAAATACAGCTAAGGTGTACACAAAAGTATTTGCTAGAGTTTTATTAGTAAAATCCTTTGTTATAATCAAGTTCGTAACACAAGAAACTAAAAAGCAACAACTGTGCTTCGCTGAATTGAATACAAAATCATAAAAAGATAAAGTTAATTCCTTAGATTCGATAGAGGAATCTAAAAAAAAGATAAAGGTTTCTGAACAGGTTTCATGATTGGCATCTGTGGCACTCGTGATAGGCTACTTTATACTCACTGTCTAAAACTCGAAAGTTATTATAATAATTTTTATATTCATAAACTAGCTGCCTATGCGAACTATGCTATGAACTTTTTCCTATGCTACCCCATAGTTCTAAAAATCGAAGTACTAAATAAAACATTTTTTTTTTCCAAATTTTCTTCTCCATAAAAATCTTCCTCAGAGTTCAAGGAATAAATTTATAAAAATTACTCGAATTGCTCCAGCCTTGTTCGAGTTTTGCGCTTAACATATTTTGAGATACATTTTTATTCATATATAGATAGATGTTCTATCATTTAATAATACGATGATAGCCGATAAAAATGTTGCAAACAATTTTATTGAATTTTATGTTTAAATATACACATATGACATAACCAATACAACTTAAATTATGAATTATAGTATTAAAAATACTGCAATAGATAATTAATACCAAGTCTTTATGATAATCTACGCGTATTTAGTTCGAAAATCGACTGTTAACGAATCTAATAACTACGTTAATCGTAAATAATAAATGTTTTTTTTTTTCAAATATTTTTGGTACTGAATAATTTTACACGATAGCTTATATACAGTAATATTACGCTAGTTATTTTCGCCAAGTAATCGTGTTTGTACAATTATTATTTAATGTTTCACATCACGTAGTGGATATCTCGGCATGCCAGTTTTAGAGTTATCTTCTTTGATCCCTTAAATCTTTCAAATATTGGTTTCAATGGTGAAACTTGTGTTTTTTTCTTAAATGAGGTTTTAATGTTCAATGGATTCTTGTAATACATATTTGAATACCACAACAGCAAAATGTACTTAATCTAGGTATTTAGCTAGAGATCATACTTTTAAACAGCATACAACATTTAACTAAAAACTAATAAAATGGAAAAAAAACATATTTTTAATAAAAGGAAAAGTTTATTTTTGCTTTGAAATATGTTTTTGTAGACTTGAAATAAATGCTGTCTGCCTGCAAAGATTTACATAAACGACCTTCCATTCTTTGTCAACGGAGTTCATGACATGGTATTGTTTGCTGACGACACGTCACTTCTATTTAAACTGTGTTCCTAGGCATAACAATAGATAGTAAACTCCAGTGGGACACATAGAGACTCTTTCGAATAGGCTGAGCTCTGCAGCATATGCAGTAAAGAAAATCCGACAGTTTACTGATCAGGACACGGCTAAAAACTAAATTCAAAACTCTCGTTAAAAGTAAATTAATCAATAAAGATTTATATAAATTTTCCTTGGGATTGATTTGCTTCAGTACTAACAATTTGTATAACTAAAACTTGGCGATTAAAAAGAGAGGCGGAGTTTCTTGCCCGCTCTACGCCCTAGACTTGCGAAATGGTAGTAAATGTAAATTTAGAATCAATTTAACATATTTTTTGTTGTCATTCATAAATGTACTTGGTTACCTATATGAATAAAGTTATTTTGAGTTTGAGTAAGATAGTTAGTTATTACATATAAATATACTTTAGGGCAAAGGCAATCCAATGTGGCTATGTTAACCACAATACTTTATATAATATTAATAAATCTTACACATTGTAATGCATATCTACTTAAAATGAATAGACATTTTTATTTTATTATATGTGCGTTTATTATGATAAGTTGAGATATGCTACATCATAGCCTAATACAATGTTGCAAGCATTTATATTATCAGCCAGATAGATATAGGCAATCTCGAGAGAAATCATTCAACATTGCTTAATTTTCTTTCAAACTGATAGAGGTCATACTAAAATTTCCAAACTTGTCTTATTCATCTATTATATTATTTAAAAAAAAAGAATACAAACATACCCACTTTGTTTATGTTTATTATTTTTATTTATATATATAAGAGAATATTAATTAATTTAATATTCTCTTATAAAAAATTTATGATTTTAAGTAACTTCCCTGTAACTACAAATACCAGTGTTTTAACATTTACAGCAACAACATACCATATCTGTTAAAATAGCATTAAAGAAAGGAATATATTTTTTTGCGTAATAAGAAACAGACTATACTAAAGATTAGGATTTATATATTATGATATTTGAACAAGATATTTTTCTTATTTGTATCTCTAATTAGACATACAGCATTGGCATCACTCAGTCATACAGACAGAAATGTTTTCAAAAGCAATATACTAACTAATAACGCACTAATTTGCTAAAAATTGGTCCGTTGAATAATAATTACATTTTTTTGTCGCATTCCTGTATGGTAATAATAATAATTTATTAAAAGATAAAGTACAATTTACATGTCAACTTTCTAGTGTGGAGGACAACTGATAAAAGCAATTAAAACTATCATCGGTCAAGCTATAAACCTTTTGATAAACTGTATTGGACTTTATGTTGCTTCCTGTAATTAAGGAAATTATTTCATAAACATGAATTAGTTCCCATAATTGTCATGATCATGGTAAATAAATGATATTGGTAAATAACTTTAAATGTCATTGTTAATTGTAAAATTTGGTATAAGACCCATGTTCCATGTTAATGAATAAGATCAATACTTTTTTTCTTTATAATTATAAATGTATTGTTTTAATTAAGTATTCAATTCCCAATTAACAAGCTAATGATAAGGAAAAAAATATCAAATAGTTATATTTTTACAAATGATGAAGTTAACAACATTCTTTTTTACAAGTAAGATTACATGTAGAATTAGAGATTTTCTCTGGATAATATCTAATAATATCAATTCTTACTCTTTTCAATATTCAATAGATAAAAATGTTTGGTTACTGTTAGTAAATAGCTTTCTTATCTCTGTTCCTATTGTGTTTGTGTAAATAATTCATATTTTATCAGAATGTAGGTAATTTGGTCAAGCATGTATGATTGATATGGGTTTAATATGGTTCATTGTGCTGTTCTGAAAAGAGCATATTAATGTAAATGGAAAGTTGGTAAAATCTCATAAACTCCCAAATGGGCTAAACACATTACTGCTTGTGCTTTGTATTTGTTTATTATTTATGGGCAAGTTGGAAATGAGTTTTCTTTTACTTTCCCACAAGTTAATTATACATAAAAAATTACAGCTATAGTGTAAAATATATGTATATTATTGTTCATGGTACTCGACACTGCCCGCAATGAGAAAACATTTTTTTATTAATAAACTCTTTGTTATAGTGTCGCACGTGCACGGCTAATAATAATGAAAGTCTGTCAACTGTAATGACTTGTGTTAGAAGAAAATTAAAAATAGATTAGAACTAAAATAAAATACCTACCTCCATCTTTAAACGACGCTGTTTCGTTTATTGGGATGATTAGTAGTGGCAAAATTCCACTGAGTCCAACCAACACGGAACCTAGAGCCGCGAACAACCATGGATGTTCATCTAATTCTTCAACAAAACTATAGAAATATTCTGGAAAAATTCCCGCAACAACAGCTTCTCCGGTTTCCATTCTAATTAATTTTTTACTTAACTTCCGTGAAAAATGGTCCTTAGTAAACAAAGGTTTTATCACAAGACTCAACAAATGTTCTAACGTCTCATTATTTATTATAATGCCGCGGAGACGAAATAATCTTCACTGAGACTGAAATCGTTCGCGACCTTATCAAATTATCAGTCCACAGATTGCCAATTCCAATAACATCCCAAGCACAAGATAATATTACTACTAAGGCATTTCTTAACAAAGATCAATCATTCCTAATTCCATTTTATCGGAAGGGAACTTCTATAGCTATTAGGTATAGGCTATTGCAGCTCGTACGGGTCAAAACACGAACGCGATTGAACGCAGCACGATTGACGATATACGATTGTTTGCAGTTTGAGAACAATCTTGTTTGTATTATTATGTCAAAAGTGAAATGATTGAGAAACGTCAAAGTCAAATATCTCGCTGTCATGTACTATGACTTCGTACAACAGGAAAAGTTGACAGTTAAAATGCTTCAAAATTTAACTATTTAGTCGTCACAGGTTTTTAACTGACTTAAAAAATCCGGAGGCTTAGAACTCGACGCGTATGTTTTAAGTTTTCTAAAAATAATGTTTATTTTCTTTAAAATGGATTCCTATCAATAATGGATTGCGCTAATGTCACATATGTGCAATCGTTTATGAGAATGATAAAAAATTATACATAATATATTATAGTTAGGATTGAAGGAAATGGTTAGGTTAGGAATGGAATTATGGCTCCCTCCCCACCGCAGATGTCCATCCTGCGGGGTCCGAGCCTTGACGTGGCCGGGGAGGGCTTAGTAACTGGGGTGCAAGCCAGCACCTTGGTGAAGCGAATCGGATATAGAGGGGGGGCCATTCTATCTAGCCCCAGCGGCGCTTCATGCGCGTGGTATGGCTGGCCTTTAAGGCTGGCGAGGCTCGTCGAATTGACGGCGAGCCCCTAACCTCAAGTTTCTGGCGCCCGGCGATGGGGTGAGTGGCCGGGGGGGAGTTCGGTCCCGAGGGCGTCCCAGGGTGAGCTGTCTTACCTGGATAAAAATTAAAGCGAAAATGAAGACAAATACTTGTAAAACTACCCCAGGCGGGTCAAATCCCGCCACCTGCTCGCAAGAGCCGGTGCAAAAGTCCCACCGTACTCTGGGGGGGGACAATCTTCATGATTCCGGCGCTTTTGCCGAGGCGAGCGAGGAGAAAATCATTAGAAATAACACATGCGATAGTAGAATGATATCCACGGACCAACCAATAAACCCGGATCTGAGAGAATTACAAGAAGTGACCGTGGTGCCTGAGCGCACTCTATGTATTACGCCGGTGCCGAGCGTTTCCAGGGACATTTTTGGCGACCATCCAGTTGACGCGCCTACGTCTGATGCTGGAAGGTTATCGGATTCCTCCGCGGCATCTATGATCAGCGCCAGATCACTGGATTGTACAGACCCTACATATCCTAGATTCTGGAGTTCTCGCAAACGAACCAGGAGTGGCGAAGACGATGGCGACAGTACAATCAGCGAGTCGTCTGTTCGGACCCCACTAAAAGTTGCTACAACAAGAAGAGGAAGAGGCCGCCCACCAAAAACCAGAGGGTACATGGGCTTGGCGCCTGCTAGGTCTGCTTATTTAAAGGCCAAGAAAACGGAAAAGGAAGCCCAGGCTGAGGAGGAGATCCTCGCTTCATTGACTGAGCCGAGTAAACCCGCACCAACACCAGCGGCAATGAATGCAGAAGGGGAAATTTTGACGGCAGATCTAGCGCAGAGGCGCATCGAAGCTAATCTGCAAATGGTAGAGAAAGTCGCGACTAAGTCAAAAAATCTTAAGGGTACATTTGTCCACGCCCTCAAATCTGTCGCTAAATCTATTAAAGAGGACACAGAGGTACTCGCTCAAATGTCTGTTTCGGATGAGACGCGAGCTCTTCGAAGTGAAAACGAGCGGCTTCGAAACTTTCTGGAGGCGCTCCAAAAAGAGATGGGAGAGTTGCGAGAGCTAATAAAGCAACGCCCTACAGATCCGGTACCAACACCGGACTTAGAGGACCTTGAGGCAAGGCTCATGAGCCGCCTTGTGGATAGGATCAATGCTAGAATAGAAAGCATAGAACCAAGACTCAACCCGGAGCCTCGCATACGACCACCTCTCTCCGCTGACAAGTATAAGCCGGAGGCTGTGGCAACAACGTCGGGGTCCTCCAAGGTTAGAAAGACGACAGCAGCGCCCACTTCGAATACAGTGGCAACTCAACCCGAGGACGGCGTGAAAAAGAAGAAAAAGAAGAAGAAACCTAAGAGAAGGCAAGAGAATGTGCCTACAGGGACAACTGTCCCTAATGCTGCCCCTCTGTCACCACCGTGCCCACTGCCAGAGCTCCCCTCTACTAATGAAGCGTGGAATAAGGTGGTAAAGAAAGGATTGCGCCGGAAGAAGAATGAAGGTGCTCAACAACTTCCAGCACAACCTAAGAGACAGGCAATGGCAACAGCTGCACAACTGAAGCTCCGTACGCCCAGTTCCGCAGCAGTTGTTTTAACGCTTCCGCCGGATGCCGAAGAGAAAGGCCTTACATACGTAGCAGTCCTAAAAGAGGCGAAGACAAAACTAAATCTGGCTGAGCTTGGTATAGAAGCGGTCCGGTTCAGACGAGCTGTCACGGGGGCCACCATCATTCAGGTCCCCGGGACAGGTGGTGAGGAGAAGGCGGATATTCTGGCGTCTAGATTAAAGGAGGTCTATGGTGACGGAAGAGTCCGGGTTTCCAGACCTGTTAAATCAACTGAGTTGATGATCTCGGGGCTGGATGAAACAGTCACCCCGGAAGAGGTCAAACAAGCCATTTGCTCTAAGGTCAGCTGCTCGCCGGACAATGTGAAGGTCGGTAGCGTCCGTCAGAACAGGACTGGCCTTTTTGCGGCATGGGTCAGGTGCCCAGTGACGGCGGCCAAAAAGCTGACCGAAGGAAGGTTATTAGTGGGATGGGCTTCCGCCCGAGTTGTTCTCTTGAGGGCCCGAGAACTGAGATGTTTCCGCTGCTTCCAGGGCGGTCATGTAGCAGCACGGTGTACTGCGGATATGGACCACAGTCACCTTTGTTTTCGGTGTGGTCAATCTGACCACCGAGCAGGGAGTTGCTCTGAAAAGCCGCAATGCGTTCTGTGTGCTGCGGCTGGCCAAAGAGCAAACCATCTACTGGGGGGTAACGCGTGTTCGGCCCCCAGCAAAAAGATGCCCAGAAGGACGTGGACCGCGAACAAAACGGCCACTGGTGCCCCACCGATCGGGGACACAGAGCAAATGGAGATAACACCTGGTTCATAGATGGCCCTCCAAATCCTACAGGCGAACATCAACCACTGCGCCAAAGCTCAGGATCTGTTACTCCAGAGCATGGCGCAGTGGTTAATCAATATCACAATAGTATCGGAGCCGTATATGATCCCCCAGAGGGAAAACTGGTTTGGCGACCGCAACGGTTTAGTTGCGATTGCCGTTTCGTTGCCTGAAGGCTTGCCTCAAGCCTCGCTAAAAGGAAACGGCTGTGTCGCTGTTAAACTAGAAAAAGTCGTTGTAATTGGAGCTTATTTTTCGCCGAACCGGAGTATTACAGAGTTCGAGGCCTTTCTGGCAGAAATGGGCTCCCTGGTGGAATGGGCTCGACCATTAAATGTTATTGTTGCAGGGGATCTCAACGCGAAGTCGTCTATGTGGAACTCTCCGGTAACCGAAGCCCGTGGCGATGCGGTGGTTGATTGGATCGCCACTCACAACTTGGTGATATTGAATCGAGGATCGGAACGCACATGCGTGCGAATGCAGGGCAGTTCTATCGTCGATGTAACTTTTGCATCCCCGGAACTAGCAAATCGCGTCTCCAACTGGCGTGTACTTACAGAGGTTGAAACGCTTTCGGACCATAGGTACATTCGGTGCCTGGTGAGTCCCCATCAACAGCTACCACCAGCAACTGGTAGATCAAATCAGCCTCCACCGGAAATAGGGCCAAAATGGTCCCGTAAAAAACTGGACTTTGACTCCCTGTCTTTGGCATCTTTGACAGAGGCGTGGTGCCCTAAGCCAAATACTATCTTAGCAGATAGAGAGGTGCAATGGTTCGGAGAGGCTTTGCGACGTATTAGCGACGCTGCAATGCCAAGGATCCGCCCTATTCCGCCCCGCCGACAAATGTACTGGTGGTCGCCTGAACTCACCCAGCTACGGACGGCTTGTGTAGTTGCCCGACGTCACTACACCCGATTACGTCGAAGACGCCTTGCTCCACACGATCCGGAAGAAGAAAGAAGGTGCTACGGCGAATACCAAGCAGCAAAATTAACTTTGCGCATTGCAATTGGAGAGGCCAAAGAGAAAGCTTGGGAAGATCTTTTACAAACTTTAGAGCTAGACCCATGGGGGCGGCCATATAGGCTAGTGATGACCAAGCTGCGCCCCTGGCTTCCGCCACTCACTACCACTCTAGAACCGGTGTTCCTGGATACGGTAGTCTCCGCACTATTCCCGGCTAACAGTTCGCATCCAACATCTCGCGACGACCTCCACTATAATGAGGAAGTCCCAGAAGTGACGCCTGAGGAACTCTCTGTTGCAATACTTAAGCTTCAGAGCAAAAAGACAGCCCCCGGACCAGATGGTGTTCACGGGAAGGTCTGGGTCCATGTCCTCAATAACGGGCTGGAAGAGAGGTTTCGGGAGTTGCTAACCCATATTTTAAAGAACGGCCACTTTCCGAGTAGCTGGAAGACGGGAAAACTTGTATTATTAAAGAAAGAGGGTAAATCACCTGAGTCCCCGTCGGCCTATAGGCCAATTGTTTTATTAAATGAAGCAGGCAAGTTATTCGAGCGAGTGCTAGCATCCCGCATAGTAAAACACCTTACAACGGACGGGCCGGATTTGGCCGATACCCAATTCGGTTTCCGGCGCGCCCGGTCTACCATCGACGCCGTTGCAAGGCTAAGAGACGTTTGC